GCTCGGTCATAGGGTGCACGAATAACGACAGAAAGCGTCGAATACCGCCCAAGGACCTCGTAGCTTGCATGGAATTCGGCAAGGCACGTGCGGCTGCAATGTTTTGAAGCTCCACCGCTTTCCGCGTGACCGGAAATGATGAACCATTCATAAATTTTTGCTTGCAATAGGTTTATTTCAACGCAGCCGTTTTTAGTAATGAACAGGCGATACACGAAACGGGAACCTCAATTAACTTTTGTAAACACCCGGAGCTGCTATATATCGTTTTGCTGCGCTGCTTTTATCTTGCGTGTCCGTGTTCTCATGTTTCATTGTGGATGAACGACGAAGACGTTCTAGATGTGCTTATATCAAACCGCAGAAAGCGTCAAAGTAACCACGAATTATTTTACTATTTGATGCAATATTTTGAGTACTAACCTCCAAATTCTATCGCTGACACGTTCGCTGCCGCTGTTCCCCCCGTTGCCGCACTGGCGGATGCCATGACTCGAACAAAGAAACGTACACACTGGGCTCGAAGACGCAGATCGCAACACACGAGTCGTACCCTGGAGCGACTATCCAGCGGTTCAAAGCGCCCAATCAACGGAAACAACCCAAACAATCCACCAGCGGCACTCCAAGGAGCGCTTTTGTCGGCTCTCTGGTATCGCACAGGGGATCGCTATTCAGGAAAACCGGTAGAACTACCTTTTCAACAATTTCTAGCCTCACCCGGTGGCGGAAATAAGCCTTCAACTAAGTGTTGTAAATGATGAAATCGAGTCAGTCACCACCGCAAATTATCAATATTAAGATAAATTCAGTTACAAAATTTTACAAGCTGAAACAGCAATTATCACGAGAAAATTGGCACGCACCTTGCGAGCGTACCCCATGATCATCGGCGGTACAGCGTCCGGTGCGCGCTCCATTCACAAGCTGTTCCGAGCACAGTCGAGGAGATGGTGTTGAGGAAATGTCTTTTCGGTTTACGAACGCAATCCACCGCCGCCAAGACCGGGGTCATGTGGAAAGCGATAAGACATTGCAGCCGCTCTCGCATTGCCGGATTCATTGCAAGCTACATAGGTCCTCGGACAGTATTCGACGCTTTCTGTCGTTATTCGTGCACCCTATGACCGAGCAATGGTGTCCCGATGACCGGGGAACTGTTGCCATCGAAGCCCGTTACTCTAATTAAGTTTGCGAGTTCAAAACAGAAAAGAAAGCGCGAACGAAGTTGAGGCACAGCAGACACCCAACACCGGCCAAGCCCCTCATCCGGGACTTTCACTCTTTCTACACAATCAGAAAGGGGGAAAGCGCCCGTAGCCCTTTCCCCTTTTCTCTCTCGCCCTCCTTCAGTAAAACGGTCTATTCGCGACTCCAGCGACCTATAGGGGGCGCCACCACCAAACAAACATGGCGGCTGAGTCCAGGTCGCGGCGGCTCGGCCGGGCCGCCTGAACAGGTGGCGCGTTCAATTTAACAGATTTTCTTTTGTTTAATGCCCTATTTTATAGGCATTTGAACTGAGACGGTTAAGTGTAGCCGGTGCAGATAAACTTGCAAAGTATAGTTTTGTTTTGCTGGTGTTTTTTTGTTCTTTTCGTGTCAAACTTTCGTTTCGGAGATTTCGTTCAAAACCGAAACTATGGGCTCCGGATAGACGGTAATATACTAATCAGTTTGGATCATCTAAGGAAAGCGGCGATGACTATAGAATTGTTCCACAGAGAGTAACTTTTCAGCTAACTCGCATGCCTCGACCATGCGACTTATCTGTCCGCGAAATCGAGCTTTTGTGCGTATCCGCGTTTACGAAACAGCTCCAGTCGTCTGCTCGGTCAACAACACAGGCTGCAGGATAATTACGAAAATTAAGCAACCGCTTCTTGAGCCAAAGACCATGTTAACCCGCCGGCGCCCCACTAAACAGCTGATACTCGTATTTCAATTCAGGTTTTAGTAGCAATCGGGAAGTCATTTTGACGAGCGGGTTATGTATTATATTACGTACATGGTCCCACTAGAGCGATATTAGTATATCCTTCGGGTTGAAATATGAGCTTAGTTGACTAGCTATTAGGTGAGCTGCTGAATAGAAATATATTTGACAGACGGAGACATACTACTTAAACTTAGCCAAATGGTTCTATAGCCGGCAGCACGGAGACAAACTGAAGAGAGTCTTCATTGAAGATCCACGCAGAACCTCTCTGCATTGAACTTTGCTTCGACCAATGTAAACGTATATTGCTGCTGGCTTCGACGTCCTCGTGATATAAATATTGGAGGCGCGATAGGTCAAAATGCCGTGACAGCATCTAACGTTGCGAGACTTGTCTCCCACCTTTTGAAAACAGATAATTTCCCTCATTCATCATCTGCAGCGAGCAAGTTTTCCTGAATCAAGTAATTGCGAAATCAGTCCAACTCCTTCAGTGTGGTCCAGAGGCTTTTTCGTCGAAAAGCAGCCGAGATAAATAGCCAACGCACCGACCGGCGTGGGTGGCTCAACTTGAAGCTAACCGAACACAACCAAACTCAAGAAAAGCAGCTATCGAACCTTCCCATTCACTTGACTGCAACATTGATGTTCCCTCCAGTATCAGTTACCAAGCATTCGTCACTTTGAATGATATTCGAGACAGAAAAGAAATTAAAAAGTTCTTCCGTAATTCCCCCCCATCCAAGAAATCGAAAGCACGCGACCGTGTGCTGTGGAGTAAACGGGCTTTCAAACACGTAATAGAAGAAAACAATCTACTGAGGCTTCACCACACTAATGATCACTCAGGCAAACTTAAGAAATATTCGGACCTCCGTCGAATTGCATTGTTCGCCACCGCGCCGACAACGCGCGTCTCCGCGAAAGCCACCAGAGACGCGGAGGGGCGCAAAGCGACCTGGACCGGTTGGTTCCCGGTTTTCCCGCTTGGCGGCGTCCGTTTTGCTGGAGTCGCGGAGCTTTCGCTGCATGTGCTACCAATCCAAGAGCCACCAGCCATCGCGGTCGAAGCCGAGCTCCAAAGAAAAACAACAAGAACAAGAAAATTTCCGATTTGAGGTATTTAGTACTAGTGCCGCCATCTAGTTTAATACGTTGAAAAAAAAATAAACAGGGCGAGTTTTTTTTTTTTTTTACACAAATACGCAAATACAACAATATTTAGTTTTCTTGGGTCTTAAAATTAAGATTAGATGCACCCCTAGTACGTACGGCGAAGCGTTTTGTCACGTTAGTCTTCTAAATAATTTTATTTTCAAAAATGCTTCAAAACGCGCTCAAAATAGTCAAATTTTTGGATTTTATTAAACATCTCTAGCGGTCCCCCCCCCCCCTCCCAAAAAAAAGAAAAAGAAGGGCCGTACGATCTTCATTACGTCCTCATAATCAACCTCCGAAGGAATGAATACTCTCATGCATTCCTGAAACCCAGGTTTGTGTAGTGAAATTTGCCCATTGAGCGACGAGCGATATACCCCGTTCACCCCTTAAGGGTGAACGGAGTATAACATTGGTTGCAGTCTCAGGTTTTCGGTTGACGGCGACGTGCGCGTCCAGAAGCATCGCTATGGTCGGCTTTCCTGATTTTCCATGATTGTTCATACCACGAGCCTAAGACTCTCAACTTCGACGATGTCAGGATGTGATGGCTTCTAGATTCCACTGTGCTTTTTAAACACACCAGCCAACTTGTCGTCGCATGTGATGATAAGTAGCCAGGGTAACAACTCGTGACGTCACGGCGAGGCAAATCCTGGCCTTGACGTCACGAATGGAAACCCTAAGAGGGCACCACCGAACAGGAGTCCCCGACATTTTGGGTTCCCTAAGCAGCTTGGGGCGTCGCACTAAGCATGCGCATATAGCTTCTGCGCCTGCGCAGTGCGACGCCCCTAGCTGCTCGGGGCCCCAAAGCGTTAATACACGTCCTGTCCTAAAACTCCCTATTTACTGAACAGCAAGCGCAGGGCGTCTCTTTCGGATGTCCGGCCTTCCAGTTTGCTCTAGTTGCCTTCCGTCCTGCTTTGGCTGCGCGTGAACTCTCGAAACCCACGAGACGCCAAGGAGCAATCAAAAGCAGGATGCTCACGCAAAAAGCGCGACAGCAGTAAAAAAAGGAGCTCTCTCTTGTTTTGTTAGTGACAATAAAGTAGCTTATAGTTCGCTGTTAGAAACACTTTATTTAGTAGGGATTCGTTTCTAAAAAGCAAAACTCCGCCCCGGTTTTTTTTTTTTTTTATTCCCGCGCTTTTTTGAATTTTAAAACGTTGCGATATTCTGGCCGCCATCATACGTAGAGTAATCAAAGCCCGTGCACTAGAACTGAAACGTCATCGCAGTAAAATCGAATGCAGACACATATTGGACGGGAGTGCCGTGTCAGCGTTCGGCTGGGCCTCGAGTTCATTCAATCCGTCGGAGGAGGTGCCAACGTTCTTAGAATTTGGGGCGTACGGTGTCGCGGTGTCGTGTTCGGGCCTTATTTCTGTGTTGGTGCCATCCTAACGAAGCTCTAGTCCGTTTCACGTTAAGTTTAACCGCAGCCAAAGCTACGCTCTGATGAAACCAATCAAGCAGCGACAAAAGTGTATCGTTATGGCGCGCGTCGAGCTCTAGTCCGTTTCACGTTAAGTTTAACCGCAGCCAAAGCTACGCTCTGATAAAACCAATCAAGCAGCGACAAAAGTGTATCGTTATGGCGCGCGTCGCTTTTGGCGTTTTCTACCACCGGCTATATCAATCAGGAACAGTGAATGCGCCGTGATCATGCGCTTTCTGCTTTTGTGCACGATTGGTTAGACGGCGAACGCCCAAGAATGACGAGCGCCGCGACAATGCACCTTTGGGAGGGCGCCCTCGAGCGGGCCGTCTCACGTTACCCCACGCGACTGTAATAGTTACCGAAAATGCCACCAGTACAGCGCTCGCCGCGGAGAAAGCCGTATGCTTGCGCGCTAGTCTGATTACGACTGCATGTATACAATCGCCAGTGGCAGTGCTCGCATTTTATCTCCCGTTATCTCGCTCTTAGTCAACGGTCGTTCTTCGCGGCCCCGAGATATCTCGAGCTAGCGGCGGCGAAGTCGTGGAGCGGACGGGCGTTTCGCGGGGCTTCAGAAACTTTCCGGACTTTGGTAAGTGACTTTACGCTTTTGGGCGATTATTGAGCCAAGTCGAAAGTGTGATCCAACGGATCTGTTTTAAGCGCGAGAACAAAACTAACGTGGCTTCTTTCCTCCAGCACATGAGTCCTTTAGGAAGGTATGCTGATGGGCCTATAGTTCCAACTACGCGGCAAGCGAGTATGCGCCAAGAAACTGAGGGAGATGGTGAGATGAGAACGGTGCTCGGACATTAGAACGCCGAGCTTTGGTTGGAATGAGTAGTGCGTAGACCGAAATCTAGCTGCCTTTGGCTCCCCTGCACTTGTCGAATGCGTTGGAATGCGAAAGCCGGAGTCCGCGGCGTTCTGCGTTCGAAGGTGTTTGTCAAGTGTAGTGGAGACATAGGCTGCTAGCTTTATAGCTCTACCCACTAATCAATCCAACCAGAGCTCGGCGTTCCTACGTCCCGCTTGTCTCGTCTCCTCCTGTCTCTGTTTCTCGGCGAGAAAGACAGACAGAGAGAGAGAGTGAGAGATGGAGTTGAAGAAAAGGGGAAACGTCGTTCATTATTGTTGCCATTATGCACCTGTGCGGCGTTGTGTCACCGTCGTTGAGGGAGGACGAAGATCGAGTGGGGAAGAAAAGAGTGGATAGTGTAGAAAGGGATAGATAGCTCTAGAAGTCTCGTCGTCACCTCCGCCGCGTGCCCGCCCGGCACCACAAGGTCCGTATAGTTGTTTGGGGCGCGCTGCACGGGCTGGAACAGCCCCGTGTCTGTCAGAGTTTCTCGGCGCATCGATTGCACGCGACGTCTAGGAGAGAGGCCTTTGACCTTTGGCAGGCTTATGGTTTACTGCGCACCCCACACTTGCACTTGCCGAGACGTATCATGCCGCTAGCGACTCGAATATATACACGTGCACCTGCTTTTTAAGAACGGTAACTGTAGTTTTAGGCACGTGAACTTTAAACAACGTGAGAGTGTGCTACGCGAACATATGATGATAGCGTTGAGCCAGTACGCCCAGGCATTGCCGGCTTCTGTAGGATTGCGCTACAAACAAAGAGTGTTAATGGGGTGAATCAAAGGTTCGCCTTTGCTGTCAGCTGCTGATCCCAAGGAGGAAGACACTGACGTGAAAGACTATCTCATCGGTTAAACAAGCTTCATGTGCGGCAGAAGTTTACTGTGCAGACATCATTAGAATCCCACATGTATTCGACTAGTATCAAGGTCGTCCAGGTGCCGTGACTGAAAGTTCTGCCATCTAGTGAGGTTGATGCGATTCAGAAAACTTCCAAATTGACCGTAACCAAATCGCAAATTATGAATTTGCAAAGCGCTGTTCGATCAACGCTGACAATGGGGCTACATTTCAAAGCAAGTCCTTATCACCCTATTGAAAAAACCAGCTTAAGCTGGTCCCAGCTTCAAGCTGGGTTATTGCCCCAGCATGCCCAGCTTGGCATGCTGGTCATGCTGGTTGATCTGGTCATACTGGTCATGATGGTTGATCTGGTCCCAGCTTCAAGCTGGGTTATTGCCCCAGCATGCCCAGTTTGGCATGCTGGTCATGCTGTTAAACTGGTCATGCTGGTGAACTTCCCAACCAGTTTAACCTGTTTAAATTAATACACAGAATAAAAAAGCCAAGCTCGTCAGAAAAGCCAACTCGGCATCCAATTTATTATTTTCGTACTTGCGGCAGCCTCACATGAACTCAAATGCTACACATCCTCGGCGCTGACACAGTACTAACCGACGCACAGATTCTCGGTGCAAATTGTCTACAATGTTAATAAAACCAGATTGCTTATCTCTCAACACGAAAAAAATACTAGACACAGGCCAAAAACAGGCAATAGCAGACGAAAATACTACACGGACGAGAGAAGCGAACCTGGGTCCCGCCAGCGATGGGGGCGAAGCGGCAACTTGCGTGGTCGGCAGAGGCGAGGAAATCCGTGTGGCTTGGATGGCATTGGCGATACTCCTCGGCACCGCCGTCATTCTTGGGCACACACACGTTCGAAGACACGAAGCGACGCCGCAGTCGGGACGTCTGACATCTTCCCGCACTGAACGGACTGCCGCTCGCTGTCTTCTCAAAACCCGCTTCGCTTGCACCGTCGTTCAACTAGTCTCCAAACAACGCGCACACAGCCGTCCCTTCGATCTGCCCTCTGCCCAAGCTATCCAAACGCGTCTTCGATTCTCCGTTTCTACCACTCTCTCTCTCTCTCTCTCTTTTCTCGCACACAAAGGTAGCTTGCAGCGCGCCTGACGCGCCCGGTGGTCTACCAAAAACGAGAGGACAAAGAACAGGACGTGGCCTCGTTCCAGCAGCCGACCTTGTCGCGCGCGCTCCCAGCAATGCCAGTTCGGCTATCTCTAGCCGACCTTGGCGTGCGCGCTCCCAGCATGACCAGCTTGACCACCACGATTATTATTTCGACCAGATTCACCAGCTTGTCTCCCAGCATGACCAGCTCGTCTCCCAGCTTGACCACATTGGCTCCATGGAAAACCAGTTTGACCAGTTAAGACCAGACTGGCTCCCAGCTACACCAGATTGAATCTAAAACCAGATTCGAGTGAGACCATGCTGGTTTTTACTTAGACCAGACTGACCAGCTTAAATTCCAGCTTGCCCAGCTTAAACCAGCTTGATTGCCAGCTAAACCAGTTTAATTACCACATTGACCAGTTTGACCACCTTGATTACCAGCTTGACCACCTTAATTACCAGCTTGACCAGTTTGATTTTCATGCTGGTTTTTCCAATAGGGCAGTTATAAGCATGATCAATCGAAACGCAAAGAGCATTCACATTCCAAACCAACAAAGGCGGTAGAATGCTTGCTTGAACATAAACATGTAATTAACACCCCGAACAATCGTCGCTAACGAATTGCGTCCCAAAACATAGATAAGGTAAACGGTCGCGTCATCGATGCCAGGTATGCTGAGCCTGCTCCTTCTTGACGCCTGCTGTGTTAGAAAGCACGACTGGGGGGGGGGGGGGGGGGGGGTACGGTATAAACCGCTCGTGCCGCTGCCAATGTCGTGTTTCACGTTCAGGAAGTGATTGCTGAAGGCAAACGAGGGAGACTTGACTACGAGTACCACCCTCTGCCCTGCCACCACCTCCAACAGCATGTGGTCACCGCAAGAGATGCAAGGCGCCCAGTCGCGTGATTCTGCTGTCAGCCTGTGCGTCCAGTGGAAACGAAACGGCCGTCGGCCACAACGTGTTGACATATCCCACCTATATCCAGCAGCATTAAGCTATTGGGCCTAGTGGGACACACTAGAGTTAAGTGACGGACTTCTGTACCGACGCTGGGAATCACACACTGGTGACCGAGTCGTGTGGCAACTTGCTGCGCCACCTGAATTCCGCGCCCAGATATACCGACAGCTTCACAGCAGTCCCGAAGGAGGCCATTTTGGCATCAGCGGTACCCTTCAGAAGACACGTGAGCGTTTCTACTGGCTGCAGTGCCACAACGATGTCAGGTTGTGGTGCCGTCAGTGCGATCTGTGGGCTTCGCGAAAGGGCCCACACAAAAAAGCTCACGCGCCATTGCAAGAACGCGTCAGTGGAGCATTATTTGAACGGGTCGCCATAGACGTTCTAGGTTCCCTACAACGAACACAAACTGGCAACAGGTTCCTCCTTGTCATTTTCGACTATTTCTTAAGATGGCCAGAAGTTATCGCAATTCCTGACCAAACCGCCCCTGTCGTGCAGATGCTTTGGTGACCCACTGGATAACACGGTACGGCGCACCCTTGTCATTACACTCGGATCAGGGACAAAACATCGAGTCACAGGTCTTTTAAGATGTCTGCCGACTGTTCAACATCACGAACACAAGAACGAAGCCGCTGCATCCGCAGTCCAATGGCTTCGTGGAGCGTTTTAACCGCACCATACTGCAGCATTGGCGATGTTCGTCAACACCCATCAAGACGACTGGAACTGCTTCGTCCCTCTACTCCTATCGAACTGCAGTTCACGAAGTCACCGGGTTCTCCCCACCATGATTTTATGCCGTGCGACCTCGCCTTCTCAAGATCGCCAGACCGTTCCTCTGACCCCGCATCTTATGTTGGTGACTTGACGACCCGTCTTGAGCGGACATACGACTTCGTTCGAGGGCGCCTGTCTTTCGCTTTCCAGAGAATGGAGGCACGGTACGACGAGCACACCACACAAGAAATGTTTCAACCAGGAGACAAAGTGTGGCTTAAAGGAGCTGTGCAACGATATTCAATTGGAATGTTTTTCTCTCTACACGAGCTTACTGGCACACCTGGGACTCAAGGATACTCACACGCAACGCCACTGGCCAAGAAACGCCTTTGTTGCGGTGTAATTTTAAAGACAAAAGCGATCATTTTCATTCAATCTCTCCTTTGCAAAATTTGATGACGTAACTCGGGGATCGCAGTACACCCAAGTGACGATATTTGAATGCGGCTCATAGATTGGACCCGAGCATTGCGTGGGCACTCGACTTGGGCTCGTGACAATTGCTAGCTCGAGAAGCATTCGGGTTGTAACCCGTGTCCAATCGCTGCAACGACGACAATAGCCGAGCCATAACAATGTCTGGAACTCAGCGCGTGTCCTGCGCTTTGCCAACCCCAGCGCGTGGCTATGATCAACACTGGCGGCATATAATCGGCTCCAGATCACGTGGTCGCTTGTTCTGGCTGCGAGTTGAGGGGGTGAATGCTGCTCGTTTTTCTTAAATTTTTTTCTGGGACTTCTATTGCGTGAGGTGCAAAACGAACGCGTGTTTCATAGGTCATTAACGTTAGGGATCCGTTTTACGCGGTATTTGTGCAAAGTACAAAAATTGTTGCATTGCTCCTTTAACAACCCTCTGCAAAAACGAGGGCTTTCGCCCAAACTCACGGTGTACCCAAACTACAGCGTAACTGGCAAGGACCATTCATTATTGTCACGCGCTTGAACGATGTGGTATAACGCGTGTGACGAAATACTCGTTCGCGCATG